CATTTGTAAATTGAGTCCCGCACTGCTATGGGAAAGCACGCCTTGGTTTAAGAATGGACTTCTGGAACGGATTAAGTTCGTAAATCAAGGTACCACTGTATAGCGGTTGAATCTCAAGAGACATCCAGAGCAGTCTAGTCCTGTTATGTTGTTTTGAGTTTCAGTTGGTGCAGCTTGAGGATGTGGACAAGGCGCTTGGATCAGTTTGGGTGACTACTTGCGCTCTGGACCTGTGCCCTTCTTGGCTAATAAAATCCAGCAGAAAGAAGACAGCTGTCTGGGCCAGGGAGGTGCCTCTTTATAAGAGGGGGTGGTTTCTACCTGCTTGAAGAAGGCAGTGATAAGACTCCTTAAGAAACCATCCCTTGAGTCTGAGAACCTAAGCAACTACCAGCCAGTTGCCAGCATCCCTGGGAAGGGGCAAAATACGTCCTCACAAGCGCACACACCCAGAAAGCAAAGTAGTATCTATTTTTAGTTACATGTATTCCTCCCTGGAAGTCAAGGTGGTATACTTGTCCCCCTCTTCATTTCATCCTTGTAACCCTGTGAGGTGGGTTAGGACAAAATATTTGATTTCAAGCAAAAGTAGTCTAGGCTTTTGCAGAGGAGAGCTGGTGCATCATAGCAACCACCAGACTACTCTATTTGAAATCTGTATTAGTCCTACGTTCACATTTTGCTTCTGCCTTGCTCTCACTTGGTGGGGTGGGGGGCTAGCCAGGTTTTTTGCCCTGTGTGAAGCCTCCACAGGAGCACCATTGCGGCTCCCAGCTTGTGTGTGTGTACGCAAATATTCATGGAGGGGTGTGTGCCAAACTGGGTCTTAGACATGGATGAAATAAAGCCCACTTTCGCCCCTGCACATAAAATAGTAATATCAATCCTAATAGGTTGTAATCCTGGACACGTCTACCCAGTCGCAAGCAACACCATGTTCCGTTGAGCTTGCTCCCAAGGTAGTGCGCACAGGACTGTAGTCTTGAAGTGCAATCCTATGCACATTTACTCCGAAGACACCCCTGCCGAGTTCAAAGGGGGCTTTCTGCCATGTAAGCATGCATAGAACTGCAGCTTTAAAATGTTTCCCCAGGCATCCTGAAAGCCATGCTTTCTTAATACACCCGATAGCTGCGATCCTGTATGCAGCGCCTGAAATGGACGTGACTCCCTTCCCAAACACGCGCTAGGATCGGGGCCGCCTCCGGGAGATGCCTGCTAGAAGGAAGATTTCTTCCTACACTTGAGACTTTTCTTTTCTCATTTGGCAGGCCACGTGCTCTCGCCTCCCTTCGCCCACCCGGGAAAAGAAACACGTCGCGAGAGGGCCATCCTCTCCAAGTTGGGCGGCCCTTCCAAAGTGCAGGCTGAGCAAGGAGGAGGCGGCAAGAATGCAGAAGCTTGGCTCCGGCGCCGGCGGCGTTCCCCTTTCCTCGGCGCCTCCCTCTGGCTCCCCGGCCTGGCCTGCCCCGCCGCACCCGCCACCTCCGCTTTCAATGGGCGGGCGGGCAGGCGGGCGGAGCGCCCCTTCCGGCGGCTGTTCCCTGAATGGCGGCGCCCGCGCGGGAGGGGCCCGGGGCGCGCGCGCGGATGACAGAGGGCGCATGCCTGCAGCCAATCAGCGCCGGGAACAAACTGGGACGGCCCGAGAGCCTGAATAAATCATTAAGCTTGACACGCGCGCCTCAGTCTCCCCGGGCTGGGCTGCGCTGCGCCTCTCGGCGCGGCTGCAGACAAAAGGGAAGGCTGTCCTGTAACTTCCACCTGCGCGTCAAAGGTGGTGGTGGGGAGGGGAGCGGAAGGGGGGATAGGGACCCCCAAAGACTGCTCGCCTTGCAGCTCCAGCAGCCCGAGCTGGTTTTCTGGGGATCGAAGTAGGATCACAAGGTCCTGAAATCTTTTCAGAAATTCGAATAGTCAGGCGCGGTGAGATGGTGGGAGAGGTTAGGAAAGTTGCTATCTGTGCTCCCGCAGCAAAGGTTTGCTGAAAACACGCGACAAAAAAGGTATATGGTGTTTGATTCAGGGTTGAATATATATATATATATATATATTAAAGCCGATCCGTTTACGATAATCTCAGTAAGCATAGGCGCAAACTCCTAGGGGGCGAGGTCCCTCAATAAAATATTTGAGGGGCACTCTGCTCCCCAGTTGATGGGCATTGCCATTCAAATACAGTATTGTGCGCGTTCCACATCTTGTGATCGATTATATGGGGCGGGGCTTACCTGGCTCCGCCCTCAATATTTTATTCAAGTTGGCACCCCTGTCAGTAAGCCTTGTAAGTTTAGTATTAAAGGTTTAAATGGATGGCATTATTTCTTCCTCCTCGGACCCTCGCTCAATGAAAGCGAAAGCTAAACCCCTGATGGTGGGCGTGACGTATATTACGCCCGCACTTGGATGTTGATCGATGGCTATCAGTAGATGGCGAAAGAGTGAGGCCTAGGCCTTTAAACTCTTAGTCCTCATGCAAGATGGGAATCGATGCGCCAACTTCTTCCCGATCAGTTTAAGAAGAGTCATGGGGGGGCGAGCATTGGTCACTGGGAGTTTTCTTCTTACTGGCACTGAGCTCCGTTCTGTCCTGATTTAGGGGTAGCTAAAAAAATTAAAAAGCGGTGGAGGAAAAAGACCATTAAAGCAGGATCCAAAGAAAAACTGAATCGAACTCTTTTTCTTTCTTTTACTGGGTACCCGAAACGGTATCGATCACCTTGCCTCCTTCTGCGAGAAGGTGCACGCGCATCTATCTCTGCGCACAATTTCTGTTACCTCGCGTCATTGTGTCCCAACACACACACACACTCGCCAAAACAATGTTGGCTGCACAAACATAACAAATTGGGGTTCTCTTTTTTCTCTTTCCCACATGCAACGCGGCTCTTTTTGCCTATTCAATGCCAGCGACTCCAACCTAACGAACCAACCTGCCCAGCAGTGGGTGCTCGCCCTGTTTTTTAAAGAGCGTTTATTGAATTGCCCCCTGTTTCGTTCGCGCAGTTATTCTTTGGGAAAGAACGTGGAAAAGTGGTTGAGGTGCATTTGGCAAATATGGCTCGATTTCTACGAATCCCCTTCTTCTAACAACGCCTAACAATTTCCATCGGTATCTCTGGTTGTTTTGCCCCTAACGCGTCCTCCGCCCCCGCCCCCCTCCCTCCATATAGCGCTAGCTGAGTAGCTTGAAAACTTGAGAGTACCATAAAATAGATGCTCCCTGATTTATGGAGTTTACTAAGGCTGAATCCGTCTTGTCAGAGCCCCTGAATAGCTTTGCCTCCCAGCACAAGAAAAGGCTTTGTGTTGCTAAGCGATTAGAGCAGATGTAATGAGATTTCGCTTCAGCCTGCCCTGCACTTTCCTATCTCCAGTGAAATGGTGTGGGTCTTTGGGGGGCGGGGGGGGGCGAAAGGTTTGGGTTCCTGCCCGCTTCTGACTTCGTTACAAGGAGCGCCGTAACTTTGCCTCTTGATTTCACGAGTCTGGATATTGACTATTCAGAGAAGAAGAAAAGCGCGGGGGTGGGGGGAAAAGAGAGGGAGGGAAAAAAATATAAGAGAACACCTGTCTCCATAAGGAACAGAAAATTTGGTCTTGGAGTATCAGAATGAGACATTGTCGTAATGGGATACCCATAGCCATAAATTACTTGCTAAACTGCATTTGCATACCTTATCTCTACAGCCTTGTAAAGGTGGGTAAACAAACGAAAAACGGAGCCACCTTTTAAATAACATAAAAAAGCGGCAGAAGAGAATGTAACCGTTATTATTTTCCTAATCAAACAAAAGTTGCAAGATCGGTTAAAACAACGAGTGCTTGTACTGAATGGGCAATCCAATGGTTTCTTTACTCCTGCCTCCCCCTCCCGAAGCATATTAATGGACGAGGGGAGAAAGGAGAGGAGGGGAAGGAGGCCGCATGTATGGCAATGCAATGCTGCCAAATTAAATAAAATTCCGTTATAGTCCAGTGCATGAAGACTTTCTGTATTAATTTATTCGCGCAGCATTGTTTCTCTCTCACTCTCTCTTTCTTCCATTTTTTAAAAAAGCAGGATAGATTTTTTTTTTATGAACATTGGCTACCTCCTTTTTTATTTTATTAGATGCGTTTTGCGCTTGGCTTTCCGCTTGGCTTGGCGCACGCAAACTGAATTTGCAAGCAAGGCGGGAGGAGCTAAGCAAGAAACGGGGAGGTGGAAAGGGACGAGGGGGAGAGAATGAACCCGAGGCGGATTCTAGTCACGTCTTTGCTAACTGACAACAAGGAGACTAGCCAAAAAGGGGGGAAAAGCGGGGAGGGGGAAGAGACCCAATTTCTTTTTGAATCTTGGTAATTGGGCACTTTTACACGCAGATCACGCTGCTGGGGGAACGTAAAAAACAGGCCAGCTAGATCGGCGTATTGAATCTCAGGCGCGCAATTTCTGCGGCTTTGCTGCCCGCCATCCCGTTTCATGTTTCTCATACGCCAGCCCTTCTCTAACATGGTTTCAAGGTATATTGCTGGATAAACATCTTTGATTTTCTTGTGTACACCCTGTTATATAGTACTAGAAAGTGGAGAACAGAGATGTCAGATTTTAAAAAAGAGCTCCCTCCCTGCTAGGATTCATTCTTTGGTGGAGTATGATTTGTGTAGATGCAGAAAGGGAAACTAAGCAGGCAGACCTCTCCCTATTTAATACACATTTGGAAAACCCAGCAGCAGAAGAGCAACTACTGCAATATCCTTGTAGGCCTGCTTATTTTGAATCCTCACATGCATCTATATATACACACAGATTGAGCCCCAGAAGTGTAATATCCCCCTCTGTGAACATTTGACTCTTCTTATACATGGAAAACATAGGGCAGAAAAGAAAATCAAGATATGCAGTAGAACCAGGAAGACGTTGCTTTAATTGAAACAAAAAGTTTTATTACCAAACTAGTTTGTATAAAACACGGTTATACATGATTTTTGTAAGTTTGTAATAAAACAGTGTGAAAAGGCAGTAGTAAAAGTTTTCTTTTTCTTCAAAAGGCAGCAGCTTGTAAAATAAATAGCTACCATTTTGCGTTTGGACAATAGCTGCATAAACTTTGTTCACTTTGAACAATTGTTTAATAACATTATTAATACATTAGCAAAGTTTCTATAAAAAAGTAAGACACATTGGTGCTAAAGTACATCCGGAGGCATTTCCAAGTCCTTTACAAGACCACATGACAAAAACATGGCAGTTGTAAGGTCATTTTGACTACGCATCTAGATATGAAGAGGTAATAAGCATTACATATCATTTAAAAAGTTATCAAGATATACACATTTTAAACCATTTGTACAAAAAAAGTCTATAAATTTCTCTGTCTCTTATATACAAAAATAGCTTAATATATCCCCAAAATTGGTTAGGATTGATACAAATAGATTTTTTTATATAATAAAAAGTTCACAAGAAAAAATTGGAAGCATTTTATGATGGGAATGGTAGGGAGGAAGTGGATGAAGGAGAGGGGAGACATCAGAGGATTCTTTGAATACAGCATAGTTTTGATTTTCAAAATCTCCACAAGTACTAGGCAACAGGAGTGTCCTTTGCACACTTATTTAAGAGCAAGTCCCACTGAATCTAGTAAGCATACACAGGATTCGTTTGCACAGCTGCAGTCCTAAAGCCATATACTTGGGAAGAAGTCCCACTGAATGCTGTGGGGCTTACTTCTGAGTAAGTATGCTAGGATTGCACTGTGTTTTGTGTCCAGAAAGCTGTGAGTGAAACAGTCTTTCCAAAGAAGCAATACTGTATTTATTTCAACAAAACGGGAAGCTCATTGCTCTGTTGAAGATGTATATGATGTATATAGGCAGTGTTGTTTAACTTTGGGGGTACTGAATAGGCAGATAGTTGCTCTTGGGCCTCCTGTTGCTACTAAGCCCATTGTGCAGCCTGATCCTATGTATGTGAATGTCACTGAGGCTGCAATCCTGTGCACGCTTATCTGGGAGTAGTTGAGTCCCGTTCCGTTAAATGGGGCTAACTTCCAAGTAAACATACATAGAATTGGGCTGCATGTCTCTTCAAAACAGCCTGGAGTGCAAAGGCAGAATCAGGGAGTGCTTCCGGTTTCTTGCAAATGCAGTCAAACTCATTCTGTGCTTCACTGTCTTGACTTTTCTTCCTTTCCGTAATGGGAAGAAAACAGATGCAACCGTTTTTCAGCAAGTCCTGTAACAACATAAGGAGAGAGAGGTAAGCATCAAGGCTTAATCCAAGTTGTGACAAGGACACAATTGGTTTTGGCATGCCAGCTCCATTAAGTGATCTTTCTGCTCAGAAAGGCACACCCGCTTCACAGCAAGGCCTACAAGTCTGTTACGTTGAATTTTTTGGATTTAACTCAAAGATGCTTCTGAGTAAATTATTCAGGACTGCAGTGTAGATCCCAGTGACTTCAATGGGTGCAATTCCCAAGTCCTGAACACGCTTACAGTAATGCATATCAACTCACAAAAAGTCACATTATGATAAATGGGGCTTCTTCCCCAGAAAGTGTGCATAAGGCTTCAGTCCTAAATCTTACTAGGGAGGAGGTCCCACTGAACACAGTGGCAGAGATCCCACTGGACTGGACCGCATTTAAGATTTAGTAATCACATTCATTACACTGGCGTGATGGACCTCAAGGCAGTGTACATAACACTGCCCAAGCAGTCTCCCATCCAGGCACTGGCTAGACCTGGGATCTAAGTGATCTCACAGTGTCCTTTGACCACAGTCTGAGTCCTGTTAGCTTCCACAGAACTGGCATCCAGACATATTTGGAATGAAGCCCCTTTAACACTTCTATATCATAATATAGATCTATTGGCCCTCTCATAGGATATAGCAGGAAGTTAAACCAATGGAATATTCTTCTGAGTTATTATTTTGAGTACCAATTCGGAGGAATCCAAGTGTGCTAGCTTACGGTTTATCATTGTTTTGTTGCTGTTTTAGTGTTTTGATTCATGTAGACAAAATATTGTTGTGATATACATTAGATAGTGAATGGGAAATAAATAAAGGTTAAGGGCAGTATTGACCTAGCTGCTCAGTGAGATCCCAGCTGAAGGCTACAAACCATTTTCCAGGCCTACTGCATATTAAGCATTTTGTTGACTACAGAAGCCCAGTCTTGGAGTCAGGCTATGTAATACACAAGCCACTTAGGCCAGTGTTGTCTCACTGACAGATCCTACTATAGTTGACCACTACACTGACTTCCAGGAGTACTTCTGGAGCACTTGGTTATTTGCAGTTTTGTAATCAAATAGGGCTAGTTCAAAGTAGGTCCCACCTCCCCATAGGGCACTCAGAATGTATCTCAGTATTGAACACTGAATAAAGAGAGGAAAAGAAAAGTGAAGCATAGGCACCCTACACTCCATTTGCCATGGACCAAGAGGGCTCTTTTTTCACCCGGTGCCCAAGTAGTCCGTGGACTGCAACCTACCATTCTGGAGATGAGCCACTGAGCTCAGCGGGATACAGGTTGCTCAACTCCCATCAATTATAATGAGATGGTGTTCTCCACTCCTATGCTCTTGTTAGGTGCATTTGCACATGCTTGTCCTCCCCGTCAAATTTGTTTTGATTGTAACCTCCTTGGGGCAGTGGCCTTGCCTTTCCTCACTCCGACGAGTGCCATGTGCACTGATGGTAATGGGAAAATAGCCGACTAAAAGCACGAGGCTCCTAATCACAGGGTTGTGGGTTCAAGTCCCACCTTGGGCAAAAAGATCCCTGCAGTGTGGAGGCGGGTTGGGCTAGATGACCCTCTGGGTCCCCCTTCCAGCTCTATGGTTCTATGCAGGGCCTTGGACTAGATGACCCTCGGCTGTCTCTTCCAGCTCTACGGTTCTAGAAAAGAACAAACCCTTCTTCCTTTCCGACCTGCCAGCAACGGAGCCCCGCCACGACCCCCTCCCCGCTCGGCCCCCACCCGAGAAGCTGCCTCAGCCAAACCCACCTGCTGCCCAGCCAGCGCCAAGAGGGCCTCGGGGGCCTCTCAGAACCAGTTGGTGAAGTCCAGGAGCTCCTGCTCTTCGGGGCTGAGGGGATCGTAGGACCCTTCGTCCGAGGAGTAGGAGGAGACGGGCGAGCCCGCCATGGAGTTCATGTCGTTGGGGTAATTGGGGGAGATGGTGGGCGAGAGGACGCCGGCCTGGAAGGCGGCGCTGACGGCGTCGTGCTCGTCCAGGAGCTGCTGCAGGGCCCGGATGTACTCGACGGCCGAGCGCAGCGTCTCCACTTTGCTCATCTTCTTGTTGGCGGCGCCGTTGGGGACGTGCTCGCGCAGCGTGGCGAAGCCCAGGTTGACCAGCTTCACGCGGTTCCTCTCGCGCTCGTTCCGCCGCGCCACCGCCGCCGGCTGCTGCTGAGGGAGGCTGTAGCCGAAGCCGCTGAAGTTGAGGCGCCGCTTGCAGCGCATCAACTCCGGCGACGACGAGCGAGGGCGCTTCACCTGCTGCGGCTGCTGCGGAAGGGGCTTCGGCGCAGCCGCAACAGGCGCTTTGACGCCGCCGGGAGAGGACTGGTGCTGCGGGTGGCCCGCCGACGCCGGGCTGAGCTGCTGCTGCTGCTGCTGCTGCTGCGCGCTGTGTGAAGCGGCCACTGCAGCCGCCGCCGCGGCCGCCGCGAAGAAGCAGGCGGGCTGCAGGAAAGGCGCGGGAGGCGGCGGCTGGCTGGCGACGCTGTCCATCTTGGCGGGGCTGGCGCTGGCCATTGGGCGGCCGCACGGACGAGGAAAGGCGCGCGGCTTCTGCTGGCCTGAGGCGCGGGAAGGAGAATTTGGTTTCTTTTTTAAAAAAAGGAAAATGGGGGGAAAAGGCTTGCGGGTGTAGAGCGCGAGCGAGCTCAGATGGCACCGCCGGCTTGGCCTCCTCCCCTTTCTTTGGAACCGAGGGAGGCTCGTGGCGCTCGCGTGTGCGCAGCCCGCTTCGCCAAACCTCTTTTGCCAAAAACGTCCAGAGATTGTGTCTCTTATAAGGGGCGGCCGGAGCTGGGCTCGCTGTTGTGGCCCCCCCCCCCCGCTCGCCCCACGGCCGCCGCCTTTTCTCTTCACACTCTCCCCCCACCCCCGCGCGCTCGCGCCGCCTCCTATCGCTGCCTCTCTTCACACACACGCACGCACGCACTCTCTCTCTCTGTGCACCTTGCGCCTTCCACACTCCCCGGCTTTGCAATGAGTGGCCGCGAGTCGGGGAAGTGCTGCCCGTCTTTTCATGACCGGTCCGGAGAAGGGTGTTGGTGTTGGGTGTGTGTGTAAAAGAATTGGATGGAAAAGGCACAACACACAGGGACGCGCGCGCACGCACATACACACACACACACAGGAGCAAACTCCAGTGCACGCGCGCTGGACCCAACTCCGCCTCCTCTCCCCCCACCGCTCCGCTTGCAAGGTTTGTTGTTGCAAGTGCGTGCGCCCGGCGCGTGCCGTTGGCCCAGCCGCTGAATAAACAATTGGGCTGGGCCACCGCATGTGGGGGGAAGGAGGGAGGGGGCCCAGGCGGCACAGCGAGCGCTGATTGGCTGAGTTGAAGTCGAGGCGGTAATGGAAGAGGGAGGGGGCTGTCGAGAAAGGGCGAGGGGGGAGGGGTTCCCCGGGCTCCTCGCAAGCGGGGGAGGCGCAACGCCTGGCGCGAGCTTTCCTCTCAGGAGCCGCTTTCTGAGGCGGCGAGTTGGGTGGAGGGTCGTGGTTGGGGGCGCCAGAGAGCGCGCTTCTTGGGAGACCCTTGCGAGGAGCAGCCCGCTGACAACGGCGTGGGCCCCACGAGTGAGCGGGGCGGGGGCAGCGGAGAATCGAGGAGCACCAGCCCTTCCTGCGAGACGGAGCGACCGCTTGGAGAGCGCTGCCAGGCGGCGGACTTCCGAGCGAAGGGGAGCTTCCGTAACACATCAATACAACAAGCATGACCTGCCAAATGCACGCCTCGTATCCCACTTGCCAGGGAGCTGGGATCGCTCCAGTTCCCTGCCATGTGTGCAGCTGATGGCAAACTTGGCAAACTACTGTGACGTGTGAAATGCCCCTCAGGAGCAGGAATCACAAATCTGAAGCCAATTCAGGCATATGAAGATGCTTCACTTTGCATACCCCACCAAATATCCATGAGTGCGTAGCTGTAGTATAAGGAAGAACTCTGGTCAGATCTGCAAAAATAATGTAAAGTTCATAAAAAGACTTGCCGGGATGTAGTGGCAAGATTTAAGTGCCAGCCCTGCATATGGCTGTTTAAAATGCAGCCCTCCAGGGATCTCTGCCTGGTCCTGAATGATCTCTGCCATGCCCCTCGCCAGCCCTGGTCGTCCTCCTCTCAAGTGCTTTTGCCTGGTGCCTCCTCAAGGACTTTTGTGATAATGCTTCTTCCTTTCCTGGATGGAGAAAGGTGAAGCCTCTTTTCCTAGACCCTTTTTACTCCAGCCCCAGTGCTGGATTTAGGGTGATGCAGGCAGTTCCCCTGCACAGGGCTCCAAGCCGAGGGGGCACAAAATTGAGAAGATCCATAACTGAGAAGTTTCTTTGGGAACGCCAAATTTTGGCCTCACAGGGTGCCATATAATGAAAGTCCGCCCCTATGCTTGTCCCACCCATCAATGGCATGCAGCCCCTGGAAAGTTTTCTATAAGGGTCTGCAGCCTTTGTACCAAAAAAGATGCTCCATCCCGGTTGTCAAATGTCAACAGCACTGGGTACCAGCATTATATTTCTAGGAGCCTCTTCAACCAGACATCTTGGCTAGCTCTTATTTTTAACTTGAGAATACGTATTGATGCACTTAGACAGGTGCTGCGTTTTTATGCCCCCCTGCCCAGGACTACCATCAGCTTCAAGGGGCAATTTTAGATCAAGAAAACAGCACAGAGGCCCATAGCATCCACCTCACTTCACTGAAGCTTGAGAAAATTGGTAAAGCCCATCAAGGAAATTTAACTCAAAGCAAAGAAGTTGGGAGATCCAACCAGAGGCCTTTTGTGTCCACATGTAGGGTGGCTCTAAGGCTCAATAATCCCTAATATATATTCCAGACTTGGATGTGCAATGAAATAAAACCCAAAGTGCATTCCAATGACTCACCTTGATATAGTTGTATACAGCAATGAGTTTGTAGAAAAGTCCACTTCGTCCATTGCATGCCTGTCAATAGCCTCTGCTCAAAAGAGGCAACTGAGGAGAGATTCCCACAACCTACTGACCATAGGCAGACAACTTTGTAAATATGCCCCATAAATGCCTGTGTGATCTTTTGATTAGGTGGGGGGGGCTGTTATTTCCCAAATATTTGGAAACAAAGCATCTTACAACGCACATGTCTTGCCCAGAATGGTCATCTCTGATTGAGAAGGTGTTTCAAGCCCAGCTTTTCATGGCAGGGACAGCTACAGGTGTAAGACAACCTGGGCCACATGATGTTTGATCAGTGGAGGTCCCATGAAACTCATTCTGTCCTCAACCACCCAGCCACCCACCTGCCTTCTTACTTAGTCCAGGCCAGGTGTGTGTGTGTGGCACTGACTGTTAGCTTCTTCCTTTTCCATAGTCTGAAAACTAAGAACTCAGCCCTGTTAGAACTCAACAGGGAGGAGAATGGTGCCCACTCCTCGTGCTCCGTTCTAAATCATAGTTGTGGCATCCCCTGTACCACTCAGTGCCCAGTGTGACTGAACCAGTCGTGCTCCCCTAAATCCACCTCTGAGAGCCACTGCCAGTCAGTGTAGACAATACTGAGCGAGATGGATCAACAGTTTAACTCAGAATGGCAGCTTTCTGTGTTCCTAGACTATCATCATCCTTGGCCCATTGGCCATGCTAGTTGAGAGGAGCTGGAATCCAGTAACAGCTGTGGAGCTTCAGGTTTCTGTCCCTGCCACAAGTGAAAGTGTCTAAAAAAGGCAGAAACAGCAAGCCAGTGGTGCATGGGACCCAGTAGGTCCATGCCTCCCCTGCATGACCATAACGGAGGCAACTCTATCCAGGGATGTTTTGTTCCTGGAGAAAATGGAACATTAGTTTTATCAGCCAGGTGAGGTTTCTAAACTTCTACATTGCTCCAGATCTCCTGTAGGCTTTGCTTATGATACACAAGGGTATCATATCTATATGATGCCCTTCTCTCTCTCTCTCTCTCTCTCACACACACACACACACACACACAGAGAGAGACAAAGACACATATATAGCTTTTGAATTAGTTTTGTTATCAGGCTTTCTTCTCAAATTACTGATCGGAGTAAAATAGCTATTGAAGTGAAGAGTTATGGGTACCAAATGCGATTTCTCTCTCTCACACAGCCTCCTTTCACTAGCTCTGCACCTGCAGTTAAGAGTCCTCAATTTCCCCATAATAATAAATATTCCTTTTCTGCTCCCCTTCAAGAAACTCCCGTCATTATTTTGCTCTTGTTTTCTGGGTGTGAATTGCAGGCAGCCACAGGCCCGGGGTCTTTTGACGTCCCCCCACTACCCTCTCCATTTTTCTTTTTAAAAACTTTCCTCTGCTTAAAAAACAATCTTGCTTTAAAGCTTTCCCCCGCGTGCGCGATGATAAAATGCCCGTCCTTTCGAGAAGCATAACGAAAGTCATTAATTCTACCTAGTTCTTCAAAAGACCCAGTACATTTGGAACTTTTTTGGGGGGAGGAGGGAGAAAGGAGCGTCCGATTTGTTACACTCTGTTTTGTTACAGTAGGCAAGCTAGCTTAGGGTCTTAGGCACATGTCTCGGCCTCCCCCTCCCCAAACCTTCCATCTCTAAGAGCGAAAATAAAGTAAAAGGTCTTTCATAGTAAACAAAAAACAAAACAAAAAACCAGCTTATTCTCCGCATAGAAGACATGAATAGCTGGGAGGGCGGGGGAAGGAGGAGGAGGGGACACCCTTACAATTTCCATCTCTCTCTCTCTCTGCTGGGTATAGCATTCAAGATCAGTCCAGTATTCAAGAATCAGTCCATTTTTTGCTCAGCAAGAGAGTTTAGAAAAGAAGCGTGGGGTCTATTCAGGGATCTTTCCCCCCTTCACAATTGTGGGGCTTTATGAACCCTATCTTCCATGCCTTGTCAGGGTATTTGCTGGAGCCCAATTAGCGCTTTGTGCTGCAAAGGGTCTTTTGCTGAATCTTTGAGGAGGCAGGAAAAAAGGAGGAGGAGAAAGAGGAGGCGGAGGGGGTGGGGTGGGGTGGGGTGGACTCTGCTCAAGTCTCCCTCTTATTTTGACGATTTCAGTCATTACTCCGTGTAATAATTAATATGACAACTGGACGCTGAAGTTTGTATAGAAACACCTCGGCAACAGCAGAGAGAGGGAGCGTGCAGTGGGTGGTAACAAGCTAAGGATCACACTGTCCAGGCACAGGGAGAGAGGGAGAAAAGAAGGAATGCGAAGAAAAGAAAGGAGAAGGAATAATAAAGATAAATAAATAGTTGGCACAACCCGCAGGAAGATAAAGAGAGCTGGAGAGAGAAAAGGAGTTTGAAAAGGGAGAGGGAGAGAGCACAGAGAAGTTAACTAAAAAAAAAACGGTTTTCTGACTATAACTCTGGATCCTAAAATGTTGTGAATTAAGGGGAAAGAGAGGGAAATTGTTTGAGATTTCCTCCAAAATGGGAAGAGACGCGGAACTTCTGCAGAAAGGAATGCCTAAAGTTTGTGTGTTTAAACTAAACTAAATAAACCACACACCAGTAATTCTAAATGGGAATATTGCATTTGTTTTTCTGATTCA